TACTCTAGATGGTAACAAACATCCATAGGAATAAATAAAGAGAAAAAGAAGTAATAATTAGGAAGACCAATAAAAAAAACCACTATAAATATATCCTTGCTGTCTGTTATGGGCTGCATTTTGTCTGCCCAAATTTCATATGCTGAAACCCCAACCCCTAGAATCTCCAAATGTGACTGTGTTTGGAGATGATTAAGGCTCATTTAGAGGTGGGGGGAGGGGGAGTCCTAATCCAATCTGAATGATGTTCTTATGAGAAGAGGAAATTTGGAAACACAGACACCAGGGATATACACTTACAGATCAAAAGACCATGTGAGAATACAGCCATCTGTAAGATAAAGAAAGATGCCTCAGAAGAAAGTAAACATGCTGAAACCTTAATCTTGGACTTCCAGTTTAGAACTGTGAGAGCATCAATCTCTGTTACGTATTCCACCTGATCTGTGGTATTGTTATGGTAGCCCCAGTAAACTAATATACTTTGTTTTCTTAAAATCATACACATTTTATAAAATAATAATTATAGCAATGTATTGTTGACTTTGTAACATTATTTATGTAATATGTATGACGATAACATAAGAAAAGGGGGAAGTGATAGAACTATAAGAGACTATCATTTTGTGAATCTCACTGGAATTAATTTAGTCTTCATCTGAAGCTGATTATGACAAGTAAGGTATCTATGGTAATCCCTAGCACAATCTCTAAGAAAAATATCTAAAAAATATATTGAAAAGGCTATTAAATAAACTAAAATGCTGCATTAGAAAATAGTCACTAATGTAAAATAAAATAAAAAGTCATGAAGGAATAGAGAAACAAAAAAAGACCTAAATATAGAAAAACTAAATGAAAAATGGCCAAAACAGATCCATCTAAGTCAATAACAAATATGTGAATAGATTAAACAACCTAACCAAAAGGCAGCGATTAATGTGATCTAACATACAATGGAATATTATTCAGACTCAAAAAAGAGGAAGTCCTGCCATTCATAAATGAATATAACAACATAAATGATCCTGAAGGGGATATTATGTTAAGTGAAATACTCCAGTAACAGTATGAAAAATGTTATTAATTCCACTTATATGAGATATCTACAATAGTCATGCTCACAGACTCCTTGAATAACGTAGTGGGGGTTAGAGAAATGGGCAGTTGTTGCTCAATGAGGATAAAGTTTCAGTTACTAGATGAATGAGTTCTAGACATCTGCCATACAACATAGTGCTAATAGTTAACCATAGTTAACAATCATGCACTTCAAAATTTGTTATGAGAATAGATATCATGTTATATGTTCTTACCATAATGCAAAACAATCAAACAAACATAATAAAGGACACAAGGAAACTTCAGGAGGTGTTGGAAATGTCTATTACATGTCTATATCTATATCTATATCTATGTCTATATCTATATCTATATCTATATCTATATCTATATCTATATCTATATCTAAAGACGAGTCTCACTCTGTTGCCCAGGCTGGAGTGCAGTGGCATGCTCACGGCTATCATAGCCTCCACCTGCTGGACTTAGGTGATCCTTCCACCTCAGCTTTCCAAATAGCTGGAACTACAGGTACGTATCTCTACACCTGGCTAATTTTTTACTGGAGAGAGGAGCTCTCATCAAGTTCACCAGGCTGGTCATGAACTCCCGGGCTCAGGCAACCCTCTCATCTCCACTCCTAAAAGTGCTGTGATTATTCTAGATAGTGAGCCACCATGCCTGGCATGGAAATGTCTGTTTACCTAGACTGTGGTAATGGTATCATGGGTATTTGCACATGTCCAAGATCATCAAATTGTACAAATTCAATACTCAAAGTTCTTTGTATATAAATTATATCTTAATAAAGCTCTTAAAACAGCCCCTCCCCCCAAGACTTGACTATATGTTATCTACAGGAAACATACTTTAAATTTAAAGAAATAGATTGAAAGTAAAAAGAAAAAATACATATATTGTACAACCACAAGAATGCTGAAGTGGCTATACTAATGTAATACATGATAGAATTTTAAATTTAAAAGTGTAATTATAGATAAAGAGAAACATTTTATAATAGTAAAAGTGTCCAACAATTAGGAAGGCATAACAATTATAAATACATAAAAAGACAGAAAACAAAAACTGACACGAGTGATGGGAAAAATAAATAGTTCAACAATGATAATTAAATACTTAAATACTGCCATTCAGTTATGAATTTAAAAAATTAGGTGGAAATTTATAAGAAAATATGAATCAAACAACAGTGAACTAACCAAAATTAACAAATATCTATAGAACACTTCATCTAACACCTGAATATTATTATTCTTATAAGCATTCTGCTATATAGTCCTTATGCTACGCCATAAAACAAATTTTGATACATTTAAAATGATTTAAATTATGTTCTCTGACTAAAATTTAATAAAACTATTAATGAATAACAGAATTTTTTTTTTTTTTGAAATTTACAAATAAAGGGAAATTAAACAATGTACTCCTAAATAAATGATGAGTTAACAAGAAATAAAAAAGAAAGTTAAAAATAATTTAAGATTTATGCAGATAAAAATAAAACACACCAAAACATGAAGTGGGGAGAAAGCGGTGCTTTGAGAGAAACATATAGATATAAATGCCTATATGAAAAAATAAATTTCTCAAATAAGAATATAAATTTTCATCTTAAGAAGCTAGAAAAAGAAAAGTCTAAACCCAAAGCAAATAAAAGTAAATAGTAATAAGAAATTAGTGCAAAAATGAAACAGAATGGAGACACAATAGAGAACACTAAGGAAACCAGAAAAGGTTTTAAAAAAAAAAAAAAAAATCAATAAAATGGCAAAATTTTACTTGGGCTGACCAAGAGTACAAGCGAGAAGTACGAAATTAATAAAGTGAGGGATGGAAGTAGGGACATCACTACTTACCTTCCAGAAATAAAAAAAAAAGTATAAAGGAATACTACAAAGCCTGTATGCCAAAAATTAGATAACTTAGAATAAATGCAAATATTCCTAGTGTAAAATAAACTACTAAAACTGACTCAAGAAGAAATAGAAATTCTGAATAGGCTCATAACAAATAAAAAGATGAAATTAGTAATGAAATAAACTCCCCATAAAGCAAAACTCAGAACCAGATGACTTTTCTTGTGAATTATATCAAGTAGTAGAATAATTAATACTGATCTTTCACATATTTTTTTCAAAAAACAGAATAGAAAGTAGCATTTTATGTCTAATAATAATAAAAGACAGACATCATAAGAAAAGGGAATTACAGTATTAAATTTTATGAATTATAAATGCAAAATCCTCAATAAAAATCCTGTACTAGCAAACTAAATATATTTTTAAATGTAACAAGAAAAAATATTATAGAGCATGAAATAGTGGTGTTTACAAAAGAAGAATTTGAAAACCACCAATCCAGTAAGTAGGCATGGGAGTCAGCATTCTGGCCAACTAATTCTATCTCTGTTAAATACAGACTGGATTATGTTATTTGTTAAGAAATAATGTAAAATTTTGATAAAACATTATCATATATAGTCGCTGTGCTGCATACAATTTTGAAGAATACATATGGACAGTTTTACTTTATATTAAAGTATGTTTAATATGAGATTGCTAATAAAAATCAAGTCTAAGCACTTTTGTAAGCATAACATTAACAACTAATCAACTTATATTCGCTATAATTTAAAAATAGTCTCTACATGAATTAACTGGAATTCATTCTCTTTCTTATTCAATCTATTTTATTATTTTAAAATTTCAAATGTAATACATGCCTATTGTAAGAGATTTATTGTACAATTTTATGTTTCTCATACTCCGATGTAACATTTTAGTAATATTACACTAAGAAGAATTCTTTTACGTATACTTGGGAACCGTAAATTCATCAATAACTGTTTTGACACAGTAATTTTTGTTTTATCAAAAATAATTGAAATTATTAATAAAAAAACTATCAGAATCCTGGAAGTGCAGTGATTAAAATAACTGGGAGTTGTTAGATACTAAAGTGATAAGCATATGTATAACTTTCTGTTTCAGTATAAGTATTGTGAGGATCTGATTCTACAGGTGGAAAAAAAATCAAAGTTTCTAACTTAATCATTACATAAGGCATCATTTCCATCTTCTTTCTTAAAGGGTAAATTTCTAGGAAGTTATTTTTTATTGTGTTTTAAAATAATATGTAAGAATTTCATTGTCTTTTCATCTCAAATATGTGTTTTTGTTATGTTATTAAATCTTAAGATGAACACATGCACACTGAATGTGCAGGAAAAATTAATCATGATGCCCTGAGTAAAAATCCTTTTTTTGCTTGAATCAGTATTTCAGCTTTATACATTAACAAATAGAATAAAATTGGAAATAAATATTTAATTATATATTTTTAAAATTAAAAGAAGGCTGGGTGCAGTGGCTTATGCCTGTAATCCCAGCACTTTGGGAGGCCGAGGCAGGAGGATTGCTTAAACCCAGGAGTTTGAGACCAGCCTGGGCAACATAAAGAAAGACACAACTTCTCTACAAAAAATTTAGAATATTAGCCAGATATGATACATGCCTGTTGTCCCATCTACTTGGGAGGCCGAGGCAGGAGGATTGTATGAGCCTAGGTGTTCAAGGCTGCAGTAAGCCATGACTGTGGACTGCACTCTAGCCTGGGTGGCAAAAGGAGAACCCAATACAAAAATAAAAATAAAAATAAATAAAACTGACAAAAAAACTGGTGAATTTCATCAAATAGCATATAGACAAAATGTATAAATTTGTTAAGATCATTTTAAAATTGATTTAATTTCATTAATGTTAAATTTTATCTGATCATGCTTATTAGTTTTTAGGAATGTGAACACATGTACTTTCTGCTCAAAATTGTTCATGTTGAAGAGATGAAGACAATTACATATTTATCTTAAGAGTGGAGATAGCTATTTGTAATGAATTTACAGCAAAACAATAACTTACCTGAAGTCCCCAGCAGTTTGGAAGGGGTTTTTCACATTCACAGTGACTTTCTTCCATTGATAACATGGGCTTTTGCATTTTATAATTTCCTTAAATAAAAAAATCAAATCAAACTATTTGATAAAACATGAATATCCCAAGTTATAAAATACAAACTTAAAAATCTATAAACCATCTTATTTAAATTTTACACTAATACTAATTTATATACTTCTCATTTTCCAATAAACATTGCACTGCTAAAATCTGGGTAAGAAAGATTAAAAATATATTTTATGTCATCATTGATCCATAGTACTGTACTAATAACTAAGCTATTTTTCAAAATTGTTTCTCCCAAATTAATTTTCTTAAAGTTGGTTTTGTTAATGATTGAACATGAATTTACATTTGCAAATTATTCAGTCATACATATAAACCTAATACACATGACACAGATACAGACGTGTGTGTACACAGGTGTATATGCTCATGAATATCTGTGTGTACGAATGTGTGTAAGTGTAACATGTCTGTGTTTATAATGCTATGGTTACACTGACAATTGTTTTATAATAAAAGCATAGATATAAAAACTACAAATTAACAAAAGAAATCCCATGCAGAAAAAGTTTCTAGGAATTCTACAGTTTTAGATTGCTCATTTTCTTGTGTTATTTCATTTTGCCACTATGAGGGAGGAACCCCAAAAAGATGGAATTTTTAAATTAAAAAGTGTGCATTTATCCTTACATGTTTAAACTTCAATCACTTTCAAAGTACTCTTCGTTTGCTGTAATTCATCTACCTATCAAGATGCTTTTTCCATTGCTCAGAACAGTTTTTGAACTCATCAATTTTGATGACTTTTAGTGCTTTTGCTGTTTTTTGCTTCATCTCTTTCACATCAGTAAAACGTTTCCCTTTGAGGACTTTTTTCATGCAGGGAAATAAACAAACAAGAATTGCTCGGAACAAGATGGGGTAAATAGGGAGGGTGGGTCACAGGAATCATGCCGTTTTGAATTAAAAACTGCTGAAAGTCCTCATAGAAAACGTTTTGCCAATGTGGAAGAGGTAAAACAAACAGAACGACAGAAGCACTAAAAGGCATCAAAATTGACAAGTTCAAAAATTGTCCTGAGCAGTGGAAAGGTGTATTCCATCAAACGGAGAGCATTTTGAAGGCAACTGAAGTTTAAAATGTAAGAATAAATACAAACTTTGTAATATATGCATTCTGTTATTTTGGGTCCCCCTTGTATTATGTAATCTACTTTCCAGCAACTTAAGACCGTGTTTGGGCAGATGAGGAAATAAAGAGTTATATAAGCTTTAGGTGTCAGCTTTTCCAGCCCCAAAATACACTGACGACTGGCTAAAATCAGCCATGTCTCTTAGCCACATATGACAAAGCAGTATCTTGTTTCAAAGAATGTGTGTAAGAGAAATGGGAAGCATACGTGTTCATTATTCAGGAGGAAATTAGATTGCAACACACTTCTCAGTGACAAATGCTCACGTTTTCTTCTGAGCATCATTGTCTAATAGGCCAGTCTGTTCATGTACGCATCTTGATGTTCTCCTCACACAATTGACCACCATTCAGTCTTTCTGAAGTCATTCTATCTATTTTCCTCTCTTGCCCTGCACACCCAAGATTCTTTATAATCTGTGTGGAAATCTAGGAAATATATTGAATGTACTTGTTCTTTACCATCATCCATGATAGAAAGTAGCATTTAGGCAAGGTAATGGTCATAAAAAGTCAATCATAATAAAGTCAAAATCATTTTACAGAGATTTAAAAATCCCTCTCTCACACCCTTTGAAATATAAACACTTAGAACTTTAGAACATCATCACCTCTCTATAAATGGCAACTTTAATATTATATTTGTAATAAATTCGCTGCACACAACACTCAAAATGATGAATTTTCCTGTCAGAGAAGAGTTTTGTTTCTGTTTTTCTTGCATAAACCATCAACTCTTAGTCAAAACAAAAACATAGACTCAGGCCCAGGACTGCATTAACTTAAATCATAAGTCCCTGGCATGAAGATGATCTCAAGAAATAAGAGCTGCCTAGATATAAAATATAGAACAGCAATGTTTATGATACTTCATGGTTTGAGAAGAGAAGCACAGACACATAAAATAGATAAAATTTACTTACAATGCCTTTAAAATTGTGGACTTCACCTCTAAGGGCAAAAGTCATTGAAACTCCTCCTACTGCATTCTTGGGCTTTGAAATTAATAGCAGTGAAGCTTCAGCAGGATGAAGAAAGCGATTGGTGAATTTCACAGTGATATTAATTTGCTTTCTATTTAATAAAAGATAAAGAGAGAACATTTTAATGAAAAAGGCAAGTAACGAGCATCTGTTTTGTGTAGGCCATGTGTCTAGTACCTACATCCTACAAGGTAGTCACTTTGACAATAAAATTACAATAAAAGTAAAAATTGTTGCAGTAATTAAGATACCTACAATCAAGATACTATCATCTGTTAAAACATCTTTATATAGTCTTTAAAATCTGAAGTTAACTGCCAAATGTATAGTCCCTCAAAGGATTTTCTAACAGTGAACTATAGGAAATCATATATGTGAAATCATATATATAAAAATCATTATTTTGTGAGAAATTCATAGGATACTCTGTGCTACTGTTTAGGAAAATACTTAGCCATGTCACTGGTTTTTGGTAACATGGAGAAAAAATAAGAAATCAAGAATTCAAAAAATGCATAAAACCATCATTGAAAACAACATTATAGATAATGATAACTGTTATCTACAAGATAACTGTTATGTAAATGAATTTTAAAAGTTAATTTTCCATAATAATTTAGAGTCTAAATCACAGTATAAGCTTTAGATACTATGGATTTGGAGGAGATTCCACTTATAAGTTGGTAGGGAAATGACTACACCATGTAGTTACCTTGCCGGACTCCACATAGGCCACATGTAACTGCATGGTATAACTGCAGCTGATACAAACCTTGGCAGAAAGCTCCATGATCCTCCCACAACATGAGAGCATGGAGGCTATGACAAACTACCACAGCAACATTTTTCACATGCCTTTCCTGGGAAGCTGTCACTAAACAGTTTCACATCGCCTCCTGGATTCTGATGAGGAACGAGACTTGCTAGCTTACCTTCTTCAGGGTAGAGTTGCAGGCTATGAAACTGCTCAGTGGCAGCATAAAATTAGCTCCTCAACATTTATAATGCAGTTTTTGCTTTGCTTTGTTTTGGTGTCACCCTTCACAAGGGACATTCGGATCTGGCAGCTTTGACTACTCTTGCTTTCACTGCTTAAGTAAGTAATGAACTCTCTGAATCAAAAAGGGGCTTGTTTTATTACCGGCTGCTTCTTTCAGCCTTGCCTTGTCTTGACACAGCTGTGAGTAATATGTACTGGGAAAATTGTGCCTTTGCTTTTACTCTGGCTCTTGGCATGGTTAACATTATATATCTGTTAATAAATACATTATACATCTGTTAATAAATGACATACGACTCTTATGTCAGTTTTTCTTTTGTACAAACTACCACCTATTGTCTTCTCTTAAGATATGCATATTTGAGAATGGAAATGGGAATAGATTGCCTTGGTGTCAAACCTTGGGGTAGCTTCCTCAGAACTTTTGTGCAATTACTGTTGAGTGGAAAGCATCAAATAGTAAGGCGAATGAGGTTCTTTCAAAGTCAGTATAAATGTTTTCAAAATAACTTTGTAGAAAAAAATTAAAGCTCACATCAAGCAGAAGTGAGGGTGATTTTATTTCAGATAGATGTCCTCACAAATCATGTCAATTTTGTATAAAAGGACCATTATACAAAACTCATGGACTTGAATTTAATTGAGAGCAAAGAACAATTGACCTACATGTCTCGTACTGGGTTTGTTAGCTCAAATTTTGTGTTAGGATACCTGTGAGTGATTTAGGATTTTTCTAGATATTCTAAAAGTCATCATTAGATACAGCCATTTATCCATTCATTCAATTGATATTTATAGATAACTTACAATATTCCAAGAACTGTTTTAGCTTTTTGAGATACAGTAATTAGATAAAAACACACTATTCCTAATCTCCTGGATTTTACATTCTCTGGGACATGGCAGATGTTAATTACATTGTTACAAAATATATCTGAAAAATTACAAATCTGTTGTGTGTCAAGAAGTGATATGAGAGCATGTAGTCTTAAGGGTCAGGGAAAGGTGGAATATGAAGGATGTGAATGACTTAGCTAGGTAGAACAGGAGAAAAAGAAGGTGTTCAAGGCATATAGTATAGTAAATTATAATGTGTTTGATGAACGGATCAAAGGCCATGAGTACTGAAACTTATATAGTAATGGCGTGCAAGATATAGCCAAGAGCATGTCATGAAACCATAGTGACTGCCATAAAAGTGAAAGTATACTTTGGACCATACTATGATATTCAATCTATATACTAAGGTTGATGAGAAGCTATTGAAATATTTTAACCAGATGAATATCATGTTCACATTTGTGTTAAAATAGCTATCATTCTAATATAGGGGACAGATTGTAGAGAAACCTTTTAGTCTGCTATAAGGATGATGTTACATTAAAACATGTGGATAAGGGGAAAAGATAACACTTTTACAATACATTTGGTAAAATCAATAGAACCTTATAGAAGATTTGGATCTTCATGGAAGTTGATGAAAAAATAAGTGTTCAAAATTGACCATAATCTAAATAATCCACTTAGTGAAGGATTTTAAAAGACCAATACTTAAGTCCCATGAAACACGTTTCATAATAGATTATCTCTCTTATGCGGTAAGTGAGTGGTTCCAGGAGCAGGGGGATTTGGAGTACAGATAATCTTTTAAAAATTTTGTAGTCATATTGAAGCATGTAAAGGCCAGGATTCTGAATTTGTTAGAAATTTCAGAATCAAGTGTGTGGTCCCCTTCAGGCAAGTTTCGGAGGTCTCTAGGCAGTTTCTATCCTAATTATAGGCCTAATCTTTACTTTCTTACCATTTATTTTCTGTTTGCTCCAATTGCCTATCCCTCATTAAAAATTTCTCCTTGATATTATATGTACCTTGTAAGCTACTGCCAGTTGGCCTTTGGAATAGATGCAGAATAAACATATAACACATCAATGTCAGTGTGCATATGGCTCAATGAAAATAATGAGAAAAAAAGAAACAGAATGGTTTTCTAAAATTATACGTTCACTTTTATGACAGTCATTCTGTTTATAGCTAAATTTAGTCATCACATTAGATGCAGAAATAAATATGTTTGTTTATATGCTGGTGTAGCTGCTTAATCTTTTCTATATAAATGATATTTCTGGGAATTTAAACCCATAGCTGGCAGAAAGAGCTATTATTAATTGTGATTTAGACAGAATCGAATACAATGTGGTACACACAAATAGATAATTATCTATTATCTGATAATGAAAAAGTTACACTTTTTGTTTAAAAAAACAAAATGTTTTCTGAGTTCTATTTGTAAAAACCAAATGCTATGAAATTATTTATCTTAGCTGAAGATATGCTTGAAGAGTCATCTAAAAACAGTATTCAAGCCTATGAAATAAAATTCATTTAGATAAAGGAATAATTGTTTTCCATATATATTCAGAATTAATAATTATCTCTTGTGGGAATACCTCCCTGTTTTCCCTAAGAACACTCAGGTATTTCTTTTCCCATTTCATCTAGTTCTATACACACATCACAAATAAAACAATTTTCAGATTATATCCTCATTGTGTATTTGCTTGTTTGACAAGATTGTAAATGATTGTGAATAGCATTCATATATTTTGATTTGTGAGTCACTAGCACTTCACATTTGTGGAAGGATGGGTGCTTATTGATTGCTCTCTATAATTTCCAGTTATTGTACTAGTGTTTTGCCTATATATCATGTTTATTACTGACAACACTGTGGGTAAATATTCTGATCCACATTTTCCAAATAAAGAAAATAAGGCTGGATTCACAGAGCCTATACATATAAGAATTGAAACCTAGACTTTAACTATTAAATGACATGGGAGAATTTCTAAACCACAATGACATTTGAAACCCAGAGTCATCATCTTTCTTCCAAGAAAAATCTCATTGAAATTAGAATAAAGGAATGTTTAAAAGGCAGCTATTTAGAGCCATCATCACATAAAGGGCAGGATGGAGTTCAGACAACACCATCCCCCCCCATGCCTTTATAAAACGACAGATGGTTGGGCATTAAAGCAGAATGTTTTTTCACTCTAAAGTGAAGCCTAACAATTGAAAAACCTGTGCACATACAGAATTATATTTTTCTATTTCCATATTATTACATATGACTAAAATAGCCAAGTATCAGGCGACATCAGATTAAATCTCTCAACATGAAACACTGTGACCAAGGTAAGCAAACAAAACAACTGACCTTAGAGAAAATAGAAATAATTCAGTTAATAGATGAGAACCTAAAAATCTGAGACAATTATGAAGATTTGCACCCCAATTTAAGAACAAGATGGTTTGAAATAGGGATTACCAGACAACAGGAAAGTGCTCTTAAAAATCTATATATCCTAAAGGAAGCAGTTGGAAAATAAGGCTTGTTGATAATGAGAGGAAAAAGCAATGCAATTTTAAAAAATACTAGTGATAAAATAGGTCTATAGAGGATCCAACTAACAAGTTCAAATTCCAACAAGTAAAGGTTGGAAAACAAGAGCAGAGAAAACAAAGGAGAAAAAATTATTAAAGAGACAATCAAAAAGAATTTTCCAGAGCTTGTCAAAACAACTTTATAATGAAAAGGCTCACTGTTTACCCAGCACATTGGAATTAAAAAGCAAGAAGGACGGACAAACAAAAAAAAACTTGATATACACTCTGGAACAATAGAGAGATGAGGAGAAACATCTGTAGTAGTCTTTCTGATAACAAATCCTTATACTGCAAGGTAATGGAGCAATTATCATATGAGTTACATGGAAAATATTTTCAAATAAGAATAATAAGCCGGGGTCGGTGGCTCAGCCTGTAATACCGCGCCTTTGGGAGGCTGAGGTGAGTGGATTGCCTGAGCCCGCGGGTTCGAGACCCACCTGGGCAACTTGGCGAGACCTCATCTCTACAATAAATAATAAAAATTAGCCGGGTGTGGTAGCGCCTTTAGTTCCAGCTACTTGGAAGGCTGAGGTAGAAGGATCGTCGGAGCCCAGCAGGTCGAGGCTGCAGTGGCCAGGAGCGGCCACTGCACTACAGTCTGGGCGACAGAGTGAGACTCCAACTCGAAAAAAGAAAAAAAA